TGGCGTCCCCGGAGGGTGAGGGGCCGCGGAGCACCCCCCGCCCCGGCTCCGTTGTGGTGCCGTTTGGAGCCTGCCGTTGTCCTGTCCTGGCAAGAACCGGGCCGCTTGTTCTGCTAAATTTGTGTGGCTTTCTGGCTTTTGGCTTTCGTTATGTTTTTATTATTGAGCCTATTTTTGTGATAGCTGAAGGGTGGGATGTGTGGCTGGGTAGATGGCTTCCCACCCTGCTTCAGGTAACGCCACAGTTTAGGATCCTTGCCAAGTGTTTTGCTGCTCAAAAATAGCCCAGTTCAGAGCAGAATGGTTGCTCCAAGGAGAGGTTGGGAGCATTCCTCAGGCATCATTTAATCAGACGTGACAAAATATTGTCCCTGCTCATTGGCCAGACTTCAAAGAGCCCGCAAAAACGTGAGATTCTTGCATGCCAGCTGCTGTGTGATTGGAAATGGTTGCCCTAAAGTAAGCCAGAGCTTAGGTTAAACTTTGGGCTTGCTTAGTCCTTTGCTTGATCGGCAGGCAAGTGTTTCCACGGGCCCCCTTGGCTTATGAGCAGAGCAGTGCTCTGCTGTCTCCTGCCCTGCAGGAATGTGCCTCAGATAGCGCCCTGCTGAGAGGCTTTGCCCGTACTGTAGGCAGAGATGCTGTGATCTGTGTATATGTCACTTTAAATAATGCGTTGTAGAGTTGATAGAAAGCAGTTCACGGAACATTTGTTTATCTGCAGTGTGAAAAAAACGGCGATGTCAAAAAGAGAAGGTCAAACCAGGCAGATATTCCTGATCTCCTTCGCCAAGAAGCAGAAGCCTGTTACCAGCTTAAGCTGCCTGAAGACTTCTACCAGTTCTGGAAGTTCTGTGAGGAGCTGGATTCTGAGAATCCAAGTGGTGGGTGTTTTGTGTGTGGGCGAGGGGACAGGGACATGGTGGCTAACTTCTTTTAACCATCACTCTCAAGAACAGCCTGAAGTTAGCAAGCAGGAAGAGAAAATTTCTTCTAATGCTGCTTCAGTTTTCAGCTGAGATGCAGGATAACTTCCATGAGTGCAAACAAGAATTGTAGAGAGATTCATGCAGATGTTAATCAAGCTCAAGCTTTCTGAAATAGCATTTTAAGTCATGTAATGCAGAGGGATTAAATGTTCTTTAAAAATGTCCTTCTCGCAAGTATATTCAAAATAGCCAGGTTCTTTAAAAATGTCCTTCTCGCAAGTTGGCAAAATAGCCAAAATAGAACTCAAGTTCAGCTATATCAACCCAAGCTTCGACTTTTCTGTAAAACTTAATTGGTCAATGTATTATATAAGATATCCCTGAAGCATGAAGTTCTGTTTCAAAGGAGAGTAGTATGTATAAAAAGCAGTTTATTTTCACATGAAAAGTTTAACAGCTTAACTCTTGCATGAAATTTACCTCAATTTTATTAAGGTAAAGACTTTCCTTTGCTGGTAAACAGTACGTTTGACTTCTTAGATCTATAGAGGCTTCTGATAATTGATAGATTCACATGTAAAACTTACGGTCTTCTGCAGTAAGAAGTTTGTGGTTTAGGTATGTACTTGCCAGAAGGTGAAATAGTTCATGCTTTGCTTTACAGATGCACTTGTGTCAAGTGTTGGACTTAAACTGGTTGGACCATATGATATTCTTGCTGGAAAACACAAAAAAGTAAAATCAACAAATGTGGATTTCAATCTTCACTGGAGATTTTTCTATGATCCCCCAGAATTCCAGACTATAATTGTTGAGGATGGCAAAACCCAGTATCACATGGGATATTTCAGGTATTTTAATTAAAACAGGCTTTTGCTCTGATGTAATTGTATGCATTTTTTCTCCTCCATATTTCTGATGAGACAGAATTTGAGCTGTGCACTATCATCTAGTGAGAATTTTTCCCTTCTGTAATGAGATATATTAATACATGTGGGTTGATGTCTTTATTAAACACAGTCGCAGCATTCAATACACTGCAGCTGAAGGGTAGATTTTTAGATACTTGTTGCCTCCCCCTGCTCCAGGCATCTTAACTTATTCATCTTTAACTTTGAGAGGGGAGCAATGGGCCCAGCCTGACTATCTGTACGTACCTTTCCACAAACAGGGATGTGCCAGATGAGCTTCCAGTGTGGGTTGGTGCAAATGAAGCTAAGAAGAGCTGTGTGATTTCACAAGTTGGTGATAATGCATTTGCTGCAGTCAAGTAAGGTTCATTTTTACTTACTTGTAAAAAGTAGCATAGAAGAGAGAGATCAGTAGATGTGATGTGGGATAATACAACTGTTTTAGGAGTCTTCCTTTCTTGAGAAAGTCTTACTGACTTATTTCCTAATACTGCTAGCAAGCTTTAAAGTACTCTTTCACATTCAAGAAGCCTACAAAAGCTTTTTTGTAAAAGTGAAATAAACAACTGTTAATTATGCACTTCTGTACATAACTCTATATATCTGTTGAAAAGACTAGAAGAAAGAGTCTCTCAATATAAAATTGCTACCTGGTGTTTTGAAATACTTCTCCCCTTTTAACAGCACGGAACATAAAGATGTCAACAGAAACACATGTAAAAGACAAACATGGTGTTTCTTATTGGTGGAACTAGGGAAAAGGCATCTCAAACAGTGGGGATTAAACGTGTTGCTAAATGAGTAACAGCTAGTTCTTGTTCTTGCCTCTATATAAATGCAGTTAACTAATATATGTAAAAATAATGTAAGGAAGTACCATTGCTGACCTGGAAGGATAGCACTTATGCAGACATGTAAGTCAGAACGATCCATGAAGCCCTGCATGCACGTGTGTAATAAATATACACAGCAGAACTGGAGTTCTCTCATTTCATGATCTGTCGGTTAAAAAAATGAAACCTTTCTAAGGATGGATGTGTGTTAGTAAGTGGAGAGCAGGCTGAGGAACCGCTCCTGCAAAGCACCTTGTCTAGAGCAGAATAGCCAAGAGTGTTTGTTTGGAAAGCAGTGTGGTGAACCAGATATACGTGTATAATGTGTGGAATAGATGACAAATGGTGAATGAGGCTCTCAAGCAGCAAACAAATTCTGAAGACAGAAAAATGTTCAGCTATTGAGTTCGTGAGAATCTTCAGCACCTGCAGGTTGCATAAGCTACGTGGTATTGCAAACACAGATAGAAATGCCTGCATACTGTCCTTGACACCTTTTTTTTTTTGCGGGGTGGCAGGGAGAGGAGATGGGGAGGGACTTGAATAGTTAAGCCGTCCGTGTGTATAAATAAACCTGTGATTACTAATCATCTTTGGAAGATTTGCGAGTTTAGTGATTAGAAGGCTCTATGTTTTGCTTTTGTTTTATGGTAAGCTCTTTTAAGAAATGTTTCTTCTGTTCACAGATTGTTTTTGTCAAAAAAACTTAAGGAAGTGACTGATAAAAAGAAAAATGCTCTTTTGAAAGACATAGATGAAAAGCTAACAAGAACAGCAAAAGAACTGGGTTATTCTCTTGAACAGAAAACCATGAAGATGAAACAGAGAGATAAGAAAGTATGACTCTTGATCCACTTAAAAGTCCTATATTTTTTTAATTGACTGACTTTGTTGTTTTTTCCCTTTCACTTTGCAAAGAAGTCTGCATGTAAGAATGTCCTGGAGCTACTCACCTATCTAGACAGAACTTTGGGAGAGAAAATATTAATATGTTTGTTTCAAATAAAGGGACTAAATCAAAACTTTTACTCTTGCAAACCATAACCTGGCAAATAAGGCATTGAACTAAAAAAGCAGGGCAAATAGTCTAAAATACGAGTTGTTGTCTGTCATATATCACTAACTTACAGTACTATTTTCTTGATTTAGGTAGTGACCAAAGCGTTTCATGGAGCAGGCCTAGTTGTTCCTGTAGACAAAAATGATGTTGGATATAGAGAACTTCCTGAAACAAATGGTAAAGATTTTATGTACTACATTTTATCTTAAGAAAATAAACTGCAGTCACATGTATGCTCTGGGAGGAAAAAAAACTGCACTAATATTTTTTTCCACTTGAAAAATATCGGCAGTGCTAAGTGAATAGCACAAGTCTTAATCATCACACTTGAGCTCTGGGTATTTTCTTAAAATAAACTGGTTGAGAATCAACAGAAAACACTACATCTGAAATAATACTTCCTAAAGTAGTAGTAAAGAAAACTCTTTCTTTTGTCTTGGCAGAAGAGAGAGAGAGTTTCTGCAGCAATATGATAAATAGATCCAAAGAACTGAACTACATTCAGGGACTTGGGGGTGCACTGATTATTTTCTCCCTCTCTTCCTAGTTTTGTTCTAACCTCAGTCAGCTCCTTGCTGCAGTTTGCCCCACGAGTGCTTGTTCCCACTGAGGGAACTGAGGTAGATAGGTGTGGACTAGGAATGAGCAGCAAGGGGAGAGGCTATTTCATCAATTACTCAGGCAGTGTCTTTTTAATCTTCATGTAAGTGTGACACATGCAGTATATCTTTGTTTTAAAGTACACCTTTAGTGCAATATTAAATTTCTGTTACCTAAACACTTAAGTATTTCTGCTTTTGGTGTTGCAGCTAATCTTAAAAAAATTTGTAAGGCCATTGTTGATGCTCCTACTGATGATCAGAGACTAAAAGCTTTTGCACCCATTCAAGAAATGCTCACTTTTGTCCAGTTTGCTAATGATGAGTGTGATTATGGAATGGGATTTGAGCTGGGCATGGACCTGTTTTGCTATGGATCACATGTGAGTACTACAACACTCATAGTTCATAATACATGTGTTATTTTTTGCATGGATTAGGAGTTGTTCTGTATAGTGAAATTATTCCCAGCTCATCCAACTGTCATCACTAGGAATTCTCCTGTGATGCCAGACTACAAGAGTATTTATGGAAAACATTAATGACAATTGTATTCATGACACCATTCCATGTTTTAATTCCATAATTGGAAGCATATTCCTGCAGTCCAGAAGCATTCGAGTAGTTTGTGATTTGGCACACATATGACACCATTCCATGTTTTAATTCCATATATGGAAGCAGTCCAGAAGCATTCAAGTAGTTTGTGATTTGGTGCACATTAGACAGTGAGTTGTTACTAACTTGCTAAAGATACAGAGCATTTAGTGTGGACAGAAGCAGTATCTCTAGCCTCCTTTCCCCTATCTTACTACTTGTACTGGCACAAGCACTCATGTATGTAACTACATCAGAAATCTGATCCATCCCTGAAACAGTCTGGAAGGGGGAAAATAATTGGTCGCTAGATTGGTTGCTTCTGTACCCTTCCTGTGGGGTGCTCGGAAAGGCTTCCCAGCGTTTGCAACTGCCTAAGTTTCTCTGATGGTTGTTCCATTTTAACAGAGTAGCATGAGCTGCATGACTTGCTAGTGATTAATCACGTGTAAAGACACCATGGCCCTATTGCTGAAATGTCACGTCTGTAATAAATCTAAGGCTAGTAAATGCATTGAGAATAGAAGTTCCACTGTACATACAATACGGATGGCAGTGAAAACACTCAAGGAAAACCTCTCAATAAGAATACTATTGACTAAGGGACTCTCTGAACTTTAGCTCAAAAAAAACACCATTAAAATAATTACTCACTGAAATAAGTAAAATTCAGTGCTCTGTCTGTCCCTGTTAAATTATTAATGTGTCATATTACCCTGCCCTCAGCTGTCCCCCAGCATCTTAGCATCTGTGATTTATTTTCCAAGGATAATACTCATAGGAACTTAAGGAAAAATTTCTTAACAGAAAGACAGAGCACTGGAACAGGCTGCCCAGAGAGGTTGTGGACTCTCCTTCTCTGGAGATCTTCAAACCCGCTTGGACGCAGTCCTGTGCCACGTGCTCTAGGTGACCCTGCGTGTGCAGGGGTTGGACTAGATGATCGCTAGAGGTCCCTGCCAAGCTTATGGATTCTATGATTCTATGCTTGTGTGACAATACTGTTCCAGCTTCCTTGGTTCTTTCCCATGTCTGGCGAGGCAGTGCAGGAAATAGTTACTTCAAACTTGCTGAGTAGGGAGAGGGCAAAATCTTTCTTCACGCATACAGCAATGTGAGACTAGTCATTGGAAGAGTGGCAGTGGCAAATTACATCCCTACAATATCGGGACATGGCCTTATCTGTACCCAACAACTCAGTTTTGAAATGGCTGTAACTTAGCAACTACAACTTTCAGAAAATGGAAACCTTTGTTTTATATTTTAACAGACAGAAGCAGAAAACAATGTTTTTTGTATGCTAACAACACAATTTAGCGGAGTGATGTGGTGATCAGCAAAAATACTGGGACTACAAATTTACCAGCTGTAGATCCTTACAGCTGCCTTCCAGTTCTGACTAGATCCTAGCTATCCCCCTCCTTACGGAGAAAGAACAAATGCTACTATTCTAGCTGTAGCCCAAGAAACAGAAATGGGCTTAACCTCTCAATCCTCCTCCTGAGATGGTGGGCATATTTCTACAATAAGCATAACATGCTAAAAATGTTCTGGCTTAAATACATTCAATTTTTTATATACTTTAAATGGTTACTTTTTCATAGGAAGAACTACTGTGGAATATGATGGAACTCTAGAATTTAGGCAACTGCTTGGCTTAGCCATGGCATCTTTTGTATGGCTGAAGTAGAAACAATTTCCATCTCTGTCTACCCCAGTCCAGAAAAATACAGTACTGCTAAACATCCTTGTCAGGGTTTGTACCCTTCTTAGAAGAGAGGGAAATACACAGAGCTTGTCCTTACTGGATACAGGAAAAGGGGCTGCGTGTGTCTCCTTTCAGTTTCTCATGTGGACAGGATAGGCCAGGCTCCTCCACAGCAGAGCACAGAACTAGAGAACTGGTCCAAAAGGGCTGTTGCTGTAAAAGCAACACGCTCCACATGGCAGTACAGGCCTTGGTATACATGCAACTGTTACCTCCCTGCAAACTGAGCAGCACTTTACAAAAGGCAGTCTGTTTTACTGGGCCTACACAAGTGTAGTACAAGCCTCTACAGTGCTTTTTCAGGTGGGGTTGAGAAAGGAATTTAAATCCGGTAAAGCTTAAGGATTATGCCACTTTCTAACCCTACAAATGAGACCGCTGAGTAAGACAAGATTTTTCTTTTTTTTTTTCTTTCATTTTTTAGTACTTTCACAAGACTGCAGGTCAGCTGCTGCCTCTTGCTTACAACCTGCTGAAGAGAAACCTCTTTGCTGAGATTATCCAGTCGCACTTGGCAAACCGGAGAGAAGACAATGTGGACCAGCTTGCACTGTGAGCCAGAGAACATGTCTATGGGGCAGCCCAAGCACATGAACGTGGGTGTTTTGAATTGTTCAAGTGGGATTTTCCTTGTTTTGTTTCTGTGTTTTATATGGAAATGCATCCTGTGTGGTGAATAAAGCTTTTCTAAATAAGGAGACTCCTCCCCGTGCTTGCTCTGCCTCCTGTCCACACCTGCAGCAGGGGGCTGAGGGTGAGAGGCAGCCAGCACACATGCACATGGCTGGTGCAGAGGCTGGGCCACCTTCAATTAGCTCAGGGACAGTTTGGCTCTCCTTAACTGCCCTGGGCTGCCTCTGAAATAATCAAAAACTCAGCAGGACTAACAAAGCTCACCACAGTAGCTTGCAGTGGTGCTTTAGCATCACTGATGAAAAGCCACTTTTAATACATATACTAAGCAACCCCTTTCTATATACCTACTAGAGGAATGTTAACTCAGAACTGAACTTCCTATCTCTTGCTGGCGTTAACAGTACACATTACCCAAACTGTGATGTACTGCTCCAGTGCTCTTTTGCTTCTTTATTGCAATATTTAGTTGTTAAAGCTACTGTTTGAAGTAACAGCCTGAGCAGTGATGGGGAAAAAATGCATTTTTTTCATATTCAACAAGCCAGCCACATGGTGACTTGACTACTGGAGTAATTTATGTGTCAGGACTAATGATCATCGTTGTTAGAAAGATCAGGGGACCCTGGGAGAAGGATCTAGCTTTAACAGGGGCCCTGCTCTTATCAAAAGCTTGTACTTGCACCTGTCTCTTCCTACAATTCTGTATGAATTTCAACGTTATGCTACATAAGTTGCATCAACTGGACCATCTTTTCTTTTCCACTACCGTAAGCATACAACAATTCCCTTTAGTCAGGCATGAAGAGAAGCCTACAGACTCATTCTCAGCCCAGCATTCTGCACTTCTGCACATTAAAAAAAAATAGAAACATCTCTTCGAGAATTCAGAGGGTCTCTTTCTTTTCCCATTTATTTTTAATCTTCCAACCAGACTTTCACATGACTGTTGATTCAGAGGACATTAATTGAAAAGTAGTCACTTTCAATAGCGTTGTTTAAGTACGAACTCAAATCTACAAGAATGAAGAGCTAAGTCTGGGTTTTCTAACTTTCTTGATGAACATCTAAATGCCAATACTACCTGAAAAGAATGCTGATGTAAAGGATACGTTACGAGTATGTACATTATCAACATCTGTCGAACGTAACCCCACAATAATTTCTCTTTCCAAGTGGGTAAGATGCTAAAAGTACATTTGCCATCTGAAATGCAGAATTTACTGAAATGCCTCCTTTTTAATGTAATCACAAAGCTAAATACAGTAAGAGTTCAGTAAATTTTAAAATAGTCAAAAAAAAAGGAAAAAAAAAGAAAAATACCTAGTGCTGATGTGTTGGCTAACTAGATCAATCCTGCATTTCCCCTAAAATTCCATCTTTTTTTCTTCATTTCTTAGCCTATAGTCACACTATATATGAAATTCCTAGGTGTTAATCGTTCAGAGAAATAAATAAAGAGAAAACAACACAACTCTTTTTTTGAGGAAACATGGAATTAAAGTCAGAACAATAAATGATCATACAGAAATTTTTAATGTTTATGATTAAATCATTACAGTAAGGAGAACTTTTACTGTAATGATAGGCAGCTCTACCACACTATCATAAATAAAAACATTAAGATCAATATTAAATACAGCTCTAGGCAACATCACAGATTAACAAATTATGCATTCTTCATGAACCAGTAACTGAACAGTTGTAAAAAATGCTGACACTTTCCCCCTCCCATCCACATTTTTTCAAATTAGTAACTTGAGTAAGGCTCTGGAAGGTTTAACACTAGAAAAGAAAACTTTTGTTGAACAGCACAGGCACCTGTACACGAGTGAGAGAATTGCTAATGTATGATTACCAGAAGAGGTTTTAAATGTCAACGGGGAAAGCTTAGCAGCTCAGAACAGTAAACAGAGATGCACAATATCAATGCAGTACTTGGGTTCTCTACTGAAATTATAAAACACAGCACGAGTGTGAATTGTATTTCAAACCAGACACAAAGTCTGTAGAATATGGTGCAAATTCATACAATACACACACAACAGTGTTTTAGCAGGAGGAGGACAGCAGAAATGGCAGAGGTATCAAACTGATTTAAAGCAATTTGTATACGTGCAGCACACTGACAATCTTCCACTATAGAAACAAGCTTCAGCCAGTGGCAATCAGCATCACAACTTCCAGGGCTGCCTTCTCTAAGTGGGCCAAATGCTGTTCTTTGCAAAGTTTCCTCAAATTTACATGGTGTTACAGAACAAGTTTCAAAGCACTAGCCTTGACTTCACTTGGAAGAATAAAACTAATTTCGCAAACATTTTTGCAAAATTCGAGTTTTAACATTCTTCACTTCTCTGCTTCAGTTTCAAAACATTTTTTAAAAAATAAGGGGGCTGACCACAACAGGCCCACTGGGCACTCCATAGAAATGTTATGCTTCCTACTGTTGCAAGTTGGTGCAAGAGATGAAAAATAGGTCGCATTTTTATACTTCAAAAATAGGTATAAAGAACAGAGTACAGCTATTATTCTAGAGGTTGCCAGTAATCCCAGTAATTTGTGCACATTAGTTATACTTGGAGATGAACGCATGCCAAGTGCTCTGCCCAATAACAACCTTGGAGATTACTGTGATGAAAGCCTCAGAGATACCTGGAATTATACACAAATTGACCATTTATATTTGTGCAGTCCTATGGGCATATTTATCACTATAAGGAAATTTTATCTAAACCCACATTATCAAACGAGATTTTGGCAGCTGTATTTCTTATTTTTCTCCTCCCTGTTTTAGTTTCATGGTATAGCATGTGATCTTTTTCTTTGCATGTCTGGTGGTAGGTTTTTTGTGTGTACGCGTGTGTGTGTGTGTATGAAAATATGAAACCAATTCATGTGGTGCTTGAAAGAGTAAGGATGTTAGGGATCTGTCAGTTACCCTGCCGAGGCATGTCTCGTTGCTGGATTTTGAAGTCCAGGCAAGGTTTCAAGTACTGGATTCCCTTCTGCCTTCCTGGCCATCTTTTGCGACAACCTAACTTTAACACGGCTATGTACCTGGGAGAAAAAATGACAACCAATCTAGTAATTCCAGTTACTATTCTTCCTATTTTATTTTTAAAATCCTGCAGTTTTTTTTTTTTAAATAACATTTTAGTAGTACTGTTCCAGTTATCCATTAATAAAGAGGAAAAAAATAGAAAAAAAATAGTAGATTTTAAGGTAACGGCAGTGAAAGTTAGGTTTGAAGATGATCTTATTTGCATGTTGGATCATAAAGAAGCCATTTCTTTAAACCCTTCATTTAGTTGTAAACATTTGCCCAATCCTCCATTACTTGCAGAGGATTATGAATTATACTATAAAATCACATTAAAAAGGTAATTACTTATGCGAGATATTAACTGATTTGTATTTAATATTTTTTTAATCCATAAAAATATAAATAAAGAATGGTAAAACTTCAAGAAAAATCATATACATTTAGTGCAAGTTACATTTCTTCCTACTGTGTGTCAGCAGTGGAACATCTTTTGTGGAGGAAAAATAAAAACGAAAGTGACTGATCTCATATTTTATGGAGAAGAAGGTAAGAGGGATATCTCCAGTGTTGTAGCATGCAATTTTTACCAGATACACGTATACAGAATTGTTCCAGTTCTTAACTATTAGTGTAGCAGTATTTTTCCTTATACTGCACAACATTGGTATATATAATAGTGTTTTCAATCAGTACAAAAATTGCATAAGACCAGGTCACATTATTGATATTTTCTGCAGCAAAAACAGTATTTTTCTCTGAAACTCTAGTTTCACCTGTTTTTCTTGTATCACAGCACACAGGCTGAAAGATGCCTCGCACGGTTCTTGCAAAATATTACTTGTTCAACCTGTTTTTGTCGCAGCGGATCTGTACTGCCCCAAGCATTTCATGATGTACAGACTACATGTTTAATGGCACAAGGAAAACCTCCCTTCTTGTGATCAAATCTCAGTAACTCACAGTACGTCTCAATATGAGAAACTACTGCTTCAAAAGGGCACACCAATTTTAAAGATGCTTTGTTACGGCTCAGGAGAGAGAGAAATAAAGCTCTTCTGGAATGTAGAAAGGTGATGTGTAATAACTATACATTTCATGAGTTAACACAACAGTTTTCAATGGTAAAAAGGGCAAGACCTTTCAGTCTCCATAGGATGGCTCAATTCGGAATGATCCCTCCAGAAACAGGGACTGGTAACACATCTCTTCAATGCTGAAGTACCGGGCTGGGGCTGGAGAATTGCGCCTCCTCGCAGGGCTCCTCGCTGCACTATCATGGCAGACCTGACGTCTCGGGATCGCATCCAGTGCAGGAGAGCAGCTCTCCCTTCCCACACTTCCTCCTCGCCACACGCTCCCCCAGACCGACTCCTGACTTCCAGCAGCACCGTGACGCAAAAACCCAGCTCTCGTTTCGGATTTTACAAGTATACCCCAGACTAAAGTGTTGTGCTATTCAACAAATGAACCTCCTCTTCCGTCTCCTCTCTCTCCTCAGCTATGGGCTTCAGTTGAACATTATTGAGGCGGGGTCTTGGTTTGCCGTCTGGGCCATATGCCGGAGGATATCTTTTTTTGTTATAATGCCAAGGAGGCGCCTGAAAAGGATAAGAACACAGGTATTAATCCATACAAGAAAACAACCAAACAGAACAAATCTGTAGCCAAGTCCTTTTTGTTGACAGGAGTACAGCAAAAGTAAACAGCCTGATTTTCTTTCTTAAACAAAAACATTTTATTAATCAAAATATCGAGTAACCACCAGTTTGTTGAAAGACAGCAATGCTGAGACATCAGATAGGATCGTCTCGGACAGCTGTAATCCATTTTTAATGAAATACAAATAACATGAGTAGAATCCAGGACCATTTTTATTTAACTTTTTGTTTCTATAAAAATGAAATTTTGATCAGTGTATGCCAACAAAAAAGTAACAAAGAGGGACAAAGAAAAAAAGAGGTATGAAGAAGTGATATTGATCCCATTTCATAAGGGAAGCCTGTTCCAACCTATCAGAAGGGACAAACCACTTGATGGCCCAAAATTTTAATATCAAATTGAACTCCCTTCCCGCCTTTTTTTTAAATGTAAAAATCTTTCCAAGGTCACACCACTGGATCAGACAGTATTTTCATAAGAGCACACTGTACTGACCATGCAACATATCCAAAATAATTTAGAGTTAACTAGGTTCTGAAGTTCACAGCTGTTATAAATGGTAACAAAGTTTTCATATTATAATTTAGATAGTGTGCTCTTATGTCAGGGACTTAGTTTTTGTTACAATTATAACTGTGCCATATCAAAAAGGGGTGAAGCTGTCCAAAAGGATAATATCACAGGAGAAGCAAAGAGCAGAATGAATGAGCTGCTGCCCTTGTTATTCTGGTTAGTACATTTTGTTTTCTCTTATTAAAGGAGGCATGAAATACTTGTGAAATATTAGCATAAAATGAGAACATAATTAGCATGTTTTGCACAAAAGCAGCTAAACTTGGTGGGTAGGTTTAGTAGTGATGTGGCTATTGCAGAGCAACCAGTGTCCGAATTAAGACAAAGTCTATCTTATAACTAAGGTTAGATCACAACATCTTGGTTAAAGCAACATCTAGATTCTAAAGTCAACAGTAAAAAAAATACTAACAGGGCAATATAGTGGCTAAAAATATCACTACACATTTTGTGTAGGGGTGCCTTAACTGCTGTAGCTGCATTGTTTGTGTAGGGGTGCCTTAACTGCTGTAGGTAATAGCTGCATTGCAGGGCATTACAGTGCAGATCTAAAAAAATATTATTTTTAAAAAAGTATGGAGATAACAAGGCTAACAGGGAAGACCTAATATTGCCATACATTAAAAAAACATGCTTGGATTTGCTTGTCAAAAGATGCAACACTTACTTTGCTATTTAGCAGCTACTTAAAGCTGGCAAGATCAGAAAAAAAGAAGAAACTGGATTTATACAAAAATCAATCTGTACAAGGGGAAAAATATTCCTAGCTGTGTGCTTTCCCATCTGGCATAATACAAAAAGAACAGATGGACCTATGTGATATCGAGAACAAAATATCAGAAAGTTTATCATCTCTACCATTTACTTTCTTTTAATGTTGTGACTAACAGTGCACCTGTATTAACAGCTTAAAATCTACAAATGTATTTGGCACATTGTTTTGTGATACGATTTCTTGAATGCAAATTTTTAGTACAAAATATTTCATTGTTCAGCTGAAGTTATAAGAGCACTGAACAGTTCACAAGTTTCATGCTTCCTGACTTCTAATGTGTCTAATTATGAGATCTGATATATCTAATCACCAAGGGTTCGACGTGCTGCTTTAGTTGCTCGAGATGCTCTAATATGTTCTTCTTTGTGATGATCCCCAAGACAATCCTGAAACACATCATGTTATGCTAATAACTGTGTGTGAAATCAAATAAAAAAAAGTTCCAATAATAATGAGAAAGGTTTAGCATACAGCAAAACTAAAAAATAAAAAGACAAAAAAATGCCAGAAAGTTAATGAGACTGTTAAATGAAAAGTGATTGGAAAATCAGTACCATTCCCCAGCACTGACCTTTATGTTTTTAACACAGAACAGAACTCAACTTTCAACAATCCCAAAAGGGCAACTTGCTCATATGAAGCGCATATGAGGGGAAGGATACTTCACCCCTTCTTCCCATATCCACGTCTTTTCAGCTTTTAAAACCACTAAAATTGAGATATACTTAATTTCCCCTTTCATATGAAAGGATTGTCCATAATTTAACCTCCCTTAGTAGATGGACTTGGTAACAGCACAAAATCACAACAGTTGAACTGCACTACAGAGCAAGGTATCTGGTGTACCTAGGAACAGACATATTCAGAGACTTCTCACTCAGGACAGTACAAACCAAGAGCAACTCCTTGGAACTGATATTCTGGTATAATATAAAGAGTCAGGCTCTTTCTTTACATATCCCTACATCTGACACCAGCATCATTTTTCTGCAAACTTCCAATTTCTAAATGGATGTCAATACTCAGGCATAAAGTCAACGTATAAGTGTACGTATCAGGATGATTGAGCACATGGTCCACATGACCATATTCGCCCTAAGCATTTACTATTTGACCTTGTTGTAACAGATGGTGAATGCATGAAGAACATGTATTTAAGTTGCAGGACAACAACAAATATGAAAGTTAGCAAGCAACAGATTAAAGCCATACATACTTGCTGCTATTTTATCACAAAATAATAAAAACATACAGTAGGATTTGATATAATTTTTAACGGTTAATATTTCTTTGGAGTCAATGTCATCAGTGTCGAAGTTTGTGTGCTCAACCACAATAGAAAAAACATAATAAAAACAAGATCAGATTAAATATTCCTTACTGCAGTTTTACCACCTCAAACTTCTCTCCTAAAACTATGAATAACTCCTTTCCTGCACTATCTTCTATAGGTCAGATAATGCTGCCTTTTTTAAAAGAAGCATTTATGCTTCTGAGAACCTTCAACTGCCATTCAGTATATGGTCAACTGACAGACGCAGTCAAGAGGGAGAAAAAAAAAAAAAAGCAAATTTAAAACACTTTTGATTTTAAAATACATCAGAATAAACAAACTTGCAAATCAGTGCAGTATTTAAATGTTTAAGACTTACAGCTGTCTACAGCAAAATAAAGCAAGTCCCACACGCATTTCAGGATTTTAGTATTTGTCTCATAGACATTTATCCTAAATATGAGTCTGCAGAGAATAATTCATCCCTCATGCTCTAAAACCTATGCTAAAGGATTGCAAGATATTATATTATAATCTGTGGTAGTTAGACACCAAGTATTTCACAAGAGAGATAAAACGAAGGTTAAAAAAAGGAACAGCTCCTCCAAAAGAGTTCTGGCAGGGGGGAAGGCTTCCCAAACTCAGAAGTGTCAATAGCTTGGTGACAATTACAGTCACTGAACTCCAAAGGGGAGGTACTAAATAGGTCACTTTCTTTCTTCTTTTGTGAGTGATATTTAATAGCTGATATCACATTGCCAGGGTATATTTAAGAACCAGGAAACACTGGGCTCATACTGCATGCTCCACAAGGCTAAATTTCTGTGGGGTCAGCTCTCTCTCCCCCAGGTGTGACTCACACACCTCAAACCAATGCTAAGTGAGGGCTAACTTTTAAAAGAACATCTTAACATGACCGAGACCACTGCCTGTTAGGTAAGAGCACAAGAAGGAAGTGCAATTTGAGAGGGACACCACCACAGGATCCTCTTGTCCTACAGTTAGGGTCCTGAGTTGTAGCACCAAAACCATAGGCTCAAATCCCATCAAAGCTCTCATCCTGGATATGGAAGCTATTGTGTCTAAAAAGGGAGCTGTATTCCTGCTCTTCTACTCACCCGTTGTGTGTTACAAGGCACTGCCTCAGACCCAGCTTCCGGAAAATGTCCACCACGATTTCCATGGGTGTGTGGTCTGTCACGGTGAAGGGGCTCATATCAAGAATGCTTCTAAGCTTCAAGGGCCGAGGGCTCTCTGCTGGAAGCGATGGGGTATGCTGGGCAAAACAGACCCTGGAACTGCCCACAATGCCCTCCTGCTTCTTTCTAGCACTTTCTTCAAGAAGAAGAAAAAAAAAAAAAAAGAGGAAAAAGAAAACAAACAAGAGATGAGACTTTACATTCTTGGATGACTTGCTTCAAATCGAAAATTCAAACAATACTATTAGGCTCTGTAGATGTCAATATTCTGACAGTCGATATTCTGATATTCAGATGCTATTCTGATTACTTCCATAACCATCACTTTGTCTGCCCCATGCAGCTTTAGCTATTACTGTTTTCCCTCCAATAACTAACTTAATAAATAAAAAGGAGGAAAGACTTCAGAATTAACAGACAGGAAGTAGCTAAACAGCTGCTGAAGGAATTGCCAAGGAAAACGCCAATCTCAAGTGACAGCTCCCACATAACTATGCCAATGAATACAAGGCAATGGCTGGTTTACAATGGCTTCTCATTCCCGATCCCTCTGAAAGTGCTTTTTTTCTTGTTCATATGAATTCATTAACTTTGGCAGGATCCTCTTTCCTTTTCATGCCATCCTCACTCTGCGACAGAAGTGCCCGTTCCCTGCACTACCTGTTTCTCAGAACAGCTCTCAGGCTAGTTAGGACCCCAAGCACTGTGCACTTTGAGTGGCTGAAATGAGTTTTACCTGTGAAGGTGTTGCACTAGAATAATGTTCTACTACTGCCCCACCTAATAGTAAGTAAAGGAAAATTTAACACAGTGCAATGCCTAACAATTTCCAAGTTCTAGACATTGATATATGTCCTGTAGTATACATGAGCTAGATTGCAAAGAAATCTTTTACTGACACAACCAGCATTTTTAAAACTTTTTTTTTTAAATATATTTTTCAATACAGGAGTTTTTGTGTCTACTTGTGTCTATTTCTCAAGACCACAAAGTGTCTCTGTTAAAGGAATACTTGTTATATACAATCTAATGAGTTATAATAAAACCAAGTTTAATATACAACATCTATCATTCATTTCAAGCACCCAATTATATTTTTGTAACAATTTCTTACATTTTTTCCTTTGATTACAGTATACATTCCTACATCCCACTGAAAAAAAAATGTCAGGATACAACAGCATTGTCACAGTATCATACTAGTATCTACTCTAAGAGGGACAAAACAGGACTTATGTACTGATGTGCACAGGGCTGAACAGACAAATTAGAAAATAAAATAATAATTCACTCACTATCTCTTCATAATATGGTCTTTGTTATTTTAAAGACAATAAATTAAAAAAAAAGTCCAAGTGGAACACAGTATTGATTTAAATTGAAAAATCACGTGGACAATAATCCCATCGGAATTTGGCCTGCTCTGAAGAAGGTTAATGCAATTTCACTTGAGAAAAATACCGGTACAAGCCATAAACACTATGTGCATGGCACATATAAAATGCACCTTCAGTTGTCCTGTTTTTCTTCTCAAGAATCCAGTACTAGACACACAAGAAAAACTAGACTAGATGATGTTCCAGCCTGCTTCAGTATGATAACCCTTATTTTTATGACAGGGATGGTCATGTTCTTCACACCAGAGACTACAATTGACCATAATCAATCTTCAGGAGAAGAACAGACACCAAGCAAGGTATCTGGACCTTAAAAACATGGCACAGTCTAGAATACATATATATAGTTTCTGGTTTATAGTATCAATTACTTTAAAGTACAATATACAATCATATAATACTGGAAGATAATTACCTATTGCAATAGTTAAATCCCTTCTTAGAGCAAAGCCCACTAGTCTCTGTGATTCTTTTGACATAATGACAGGAAAACCATTATAGCTGGTTTCATTTATCAAGTTTTCTATATCTTCAACGGTCATATTATCCTGTGTCAGAACTGCCAAAGGTGGATCACTTCTTCGAGGTCTCATGACATCAGCAGCCACTAGCCCTCCTGTTAGTTCAAAAACAATAACTACCAGGGACACAGTCATCCTTGTCACCCCACCTGCAAGAAAAAACGGCAGTCAGTAACATGCTCCTATCGGGTAATACCGAATTCAGAATTTCCAGCCTTCCTGTTAAGAGCTACAAAGGTTGCTTTGCCAGCAAAGCTCACCTGGCAAACATTGCTCTGTATAACACAAGTAGGTGCAGACAGAGGGAAGCTTCAGAAGAAAGTGAGGGCTCCTAGAAAAAAATCTGAAGCTCAGAAAATATAGTAGTTTGACGGAAAAAGTATGGATATTTCACATACACTAAGAAAAATAGTATTTTTTTCTATGCCACTCCTTTCTTAAGTATTTTAAAATACTGAGAAATGCAAGGAAATCCAGGAAGATGATGATCTGGAAGAATGCAACTAATGTAGGTAAAGCATAAGTATTCAATAAGTACACTGCCCAAAACGTTCAATGCTGATATTTAATTGCAAAACTTAAAAGGAATTCTGAACTGGCAAGTAGCACCTCTTCCTTGAGCAATAGGAGAAAACAAGGATATTGCTTTCGGTAGCATTCTGGACAATTTTTCTACCACCAGTTTCTGATGCTGTACCTTCATTTAATAAAACATATAGTCTTTCGTGTAATGCATTCAGAAATAATTAAATTCAACTATTCAGAAAACAAACAAAAGCCCTCCAACACAAAAACTATAAATGTTCCACTAGTTTATTTTATCACTCAAATGCACTGAAACACTTCTTCCTTAAGCAAGCAGTCTGCTTTTCAGAGAAGCTGTGCTAAAAGTTTTCTATGTTTAATTTCCAAGGCAACTATCTAATAGGTTAGGAAGGGACCTTCGAAACCTCTTTTAGTGTAGGTGTCCAACCTGAACCTCCTTTCAAGAAGCTAACTTTTAACAATTCCTCTTGAAAATATCTCAAATAGGACTCTTGACAGATTTGTTCAGATTATTAAATTGCAGGAATAATTTTTGTAAGACATATGGAAGTGGCAGCAGATCATATCACCTCTTTTTGATAATTTCAATATACTAAAGCGTACAAGTCCTCTGCTTTGTACATTTCAAGAAACCGATCATTTTGATTGATGGAGTAAGTAACGCCTCTCAGTAGCACTGTGAAGAAGCTAACAGAGCTATTAAACTCTTCTATTTCTCAGCAGCTACTCTGTTTATATTTCACATTTTATTCTTCAGATCATAAGGGTCTTATGATCTCATGTAGAGATAGAGGCATTTTCTTCTGAAGGGAGCACCACATAAAAAGGTGCTCCAATACTGTACATGCTTTCATCTTCCTTCATTTTTAATCACTACTTTGTGAAGGACCAAGAGATGAGACCCTGATTTACTTTGTTGCAGTTTAGTTACCTAAGCATGCAGCAGCACCAACCATGGCATAAAGGCCAGGCGTAATACAGTCAGCTCCAACTTCACACCACTCCTTGAAGATGAACCAGTCGTGATGGTAATAGGCCAGCTGCTCCACTGCAATCCCCACGATCCTTCCTGCTATCGCTCCGATTGCCATGCTAGGTATGAACAGCCCAGATGGAACCTGCAACAGAAACTGCTGTCAGGCTGAGAGAAATACACACAATGCATATTCTTAGAAATATTTAGAATGCTTAGAAGAATAAGAGTGATGCAAATACTCTGCCATGTTGTCAACATGTAAATTGGCATTGTAAAATTAGCAGAATTTTATGCAATGGCACTGATACTGCTGATCAACCCGGTTAGTTGAATTCAATTTTATGAGCATGTACAAGTCTTACTACAAAAAACTAGTAAGATTTTTACTTCTTATCTAAACATCTCTTCACAAAATAATTTTATCAAAAAAAATGTGTACCATTAGTGGAGTTAGACATTTTATTATGTATTCATTAACAACTCTGCAGCAATGAAATGCCAGCATTGTGCAATTCCAAACTACAGACTTTGCAAAGGAATAAAAAAGCAGGTGTAGAACTGTATTTTATAATCTATTAACATGATTATTATGTTGTCAATATTTATTGTTGCAAAGATAATTTTAAAAGGCAGTGCAAAGACAAATTAATATAGCAAGATTCCTGTGCTTGAGAGCCAGAAAAATAATTTTCAGGGAAAAGGTTTAGACAAACGGTCCTTCTCACTCCAGAATTATAAGCCCTAAAATCTAATGATAATTCTTTCAGTGTTGCTAGAGCTAACTATTCAATGCTGTCATTTTAGCGTATCCAGATTGTGCATTTATAACATACCACCATCAATTCCCACAATGTGTTCACAAACCTCCAAAGCTCCAAGTATTCCTTGAGTGAAATTCTTTTTGTGAACAGCATAATAGTATCTTCAAAAATGAATTGTTTCTGGTAGAATAATTGAATAAATATTTGAAACTTCCCCAGATTCTAACCTGCTTCAGCATTACACCACCCAACATTAAGCCTTCAAATGGAAACCAAGTCCAAATCGTTTCTTGCCCTTTAACGTAATTTTTCAGGCACTTTGCTCCTTTGCTTCTTTTCATTCTGTGCAAACCATGCTTACTAGTCTCGCCATGATTTAAAGCTGCCTCCTTTTACATAAACTTCCGAATCGCCTGTCATGAAGTGGAGAGGAACCTTCACAGAGACTGGACTCGGAAAAAAGACCCGGCCCTGTCCCAGCTCTGCATTCCCTCCCCCTGCGCAAGCCTGGTGGACTGACTTCAGAGGAGATTTACCCTGTACACCCCTGTGGCATAGCACCTTCTTTGAAACCAGCAAGGAATCAGGACAAACTCTGTGTGTTTTTGATAATGCAGCTGCACAGAGGTTGGGTTCTGTGGCACAGCTGTAATCCCACTCCGACCTGTGGGTCATCAGCATTCTGGCATGATGATCCCATGGCAAGGGTTAGATTACACACATACTCTACTCCCACTCCAGTAAATCCTTCCTTCATAAAACTAAAGCTTAAAGTATGAATTAATGTAATATTTAAGCGGCATCCCCTTCCCCAGATTCTGGCTGAGCTTAGTCAGCAATAAGCTTCAAGGCTTCAGATAAATGCATGTAGAAAATCCCATCCATGACAGCAGCATGAGTCCTTATCTACTTGCAATAAACATAAATATAATCTTACAACTTGTCACAAAAAAATATCCCCAAATTGCAAGTGATAGAGCTACAAGGAAACAAAACTGAATCGAATGAAACCTGTAAGTCTGAATAGACAAAGTGTGATTCTGGGGTGATGCCTCTATGGAAAATCGTAAGTGCACAAACATGTAGTTCTATAACACTCAGAAGGGCAAAGCCCTTATAAATAAAATTCTATAAAACAGATCAAGTGATCCTGTTCTGATCTATGGAAAATGATCACTTAAAATACAAGTAACAGAGTTATCTTACCACCAACTGACATAATATAAATAATTTAAACAGACAAAAACCTTCTTCTAAAATAACATGCGAGGAATGCAACTAGGTATTTTTCTATCAGCTACACAGAACAGCAGTGTTGGCTATGAAAAAAATAGAACCAGGAGAAATAGAAATCCTGCGTGGTGATGATTCTGCAGTCATGTTTGTGCTAAGACACATGATAATGATCTAACTGCAAAAATGCATGAGACATTGCCAAGACAGAACACAATGTAGGTGGAGTTACTATGTGTTATTTAGAAAATCACCACTGTTGAGAGAAGTTGAAGGGATCTCCTGAACTGATTTAAAGAGTGACAACAATTATGCCCTTTTTTTTTTTTTAAATATCAGAGAAATTCCCAATCATATGAATACTGCCCACCTTCTAGTCATGACATGCAATACTGAAAACTTCAAAAAAGCAAGCAATTGTCAAGATCGCCACTAGGCTCCTTATCAGTTTGACTGTAGTAATCTGCATTCAGATGCATTTGTCTGACAAATGAGAGGGGAGAGAAAAGAGACGTAGTTCAAGAGGCACTGTATTTTTTTTTCCATGTGACGGGACTAAGGAACATGATCAGCTATTTTGCACTCAGTTGAACTGAGCTTTTGAAAACCTCAGAAACATCAGCACTGCTCAATCAGGCCCAAACAGCCATTCATGCAGTTTCTGCCCTCTATAAAATTTAACACACATTTCTCTTCAGCTGAATAGCAGAGAGTTTGTTTAAATTTAATTAAACTTAGCATGGTTCTCCACAAGACTTGTGTATTAATGAGAATCAAAGACATCCTTTTTAAACTACACTTAAAAAAAATAATAATAATAACTGATTAGCTCCAACATGATTGCTGGAGTGCTGGTTAGGGAGAGAAAAAAAGTAATTACATATTTACAGCAGGTGATGCATTCACACTTACCTTGATACCAAAAGTGAAGACTGTCATAATTATTTTGAATATGAGTGCTAAACACAACTGCCATATAGCTGAATAGACTCCAGTGCCTGCTGGACGGTCAGGAATATCATCTACTATTTTGCTTGCGTTCATATCATTTCTGTAGTCACAGAGGGAGGAGGATTCCAAGGGCCCGCAGTCTGTGAAGAGCTCTTTAATGAGCTCACTGGTGTTCAGCCTGTAGGGATTTGGAAACGCAATGACGGCCGTTATAGCTGCAACAATAATAACCTCCAGGACAGGATACTTCCCAAATTTTGTAGATTTGCGTCGGCGGCACCATGCAATGTTTGCTCGGATGAAAAATGCTCCCCAGAGCCCACCAAATACTCCCAGAAGAATAAAAGGAAGCAGTTCAAAAAGGTACCAAGGAGTGTGGTATTCCACATAAAAAAGTACTAGACGGCTATTACCAAAAGGATTGATGGACCTCAGAACAAATGCAGCCACTAAAGCAGCAAAAAATGATCTCCACAAAGTTTTCAGTGGGAAATAATAACTGACCTGCAAAAGGCAATGTAAATTAGAATTATTAGTCACTCAGTTACAAATACAGGCAGACTACTTTCTGCATGTGTCAGAATACTGCTTAGCTCTTGGTATAAGCAGAAAAAAATACTGATAATACGAGAGTGTATTATTCCTCTCACTTGCAGCTCCAGCCCATAATTTTATGCTGTTTTTAGAGCCCTATGTAATTTAATTTTACATCATTAAACATCAACACTAAGGAAACACTGAAATCACCGCTTGCTTAAGCTTTTTAGGTAAAATGTGCAGTAATTCATGTTTAAAATATTCCCTAAGTATCTATGCATTTACAAGGATCAGACTGTGTACTAGCTGCTTTCTCAATCTCTTCCTAATAGTGTTCCATCCCCTGATGGCAGTACCAACATTGAAAAATTTCTGGCATAACCATACTTTCCAAAACCACAATTAAAAACTCAAAAACGAAAACAACTCTACTGAAGAGCACATAGGTTCTTAAGTCCCATGAAGCCCAATTTTCAAGTGTCTTTCACTCAGCATTTTTGGACTATTTGGCAACAACAGAAGTCCTCAAAATCCCCTAATGACACAGCAGAATTCTTCACAAAATTTTTATTTATATATATGTACATATAAATAAAATTAGAGATTTTTCTGAAGAACAATAAGATGTCAAATTTCTTTTAAAAAGTGTTACATGATCTAAATAGCATTTCCCATGTGTTTTGATAGCAATTAATGAAAACTGATGTAGTAAAGAATATACTCCATGGATAACAGATGGTATGATTACAGTGGGAGCCATTTTTTAAATTTATTATTAGTTACTAGTGTATTCAATTACATTTAGTGTCTACACTTTTTTTTAACTAACATTTACTAGTTCTGTGAAACTGTCAAATAAGTTTCTAAAGACACTTACAAAATGAAATACAAGTCCCTAAATTTTATTTTCTAGAATACATTCCCAGAGTGAAAAGCTGGTTTATCTCCTTCTGTATATACACTATATAGAGTATTAACTGACTATGCCTATAACTGAGAATAATGCAAAAGTGACAGTTATCCAAAATATATTTAATAATATTTGGGAGTCTGCCTCTGATAGGACTCACAGTTTTGAAATGTGCAAAGTAATTTCCAAAAATAATTTCCCTGCTAGGAAACCTTTGCAACTAAAAGGAGTCTGAGATTACTCATTTTAGAGCAGACTTTTAAGATATCTTTCTTTCAGGGCCATCTCTTGACATACCTCCTCCAGACTGAAAAGGACTCCACCAATTGGGGCACCAAAGGCCACAGACACTCCCGCTGCTGAGGCAGCTGACAACACCTAGAAGAGAACAACGGTATCATTATATTTTGCAGTCTGTGATTCACATTCTAAAAGTTAAAAATAAAATCTCATTGAGGTCTATCAGTTCCTTTAATGTTCCTACTGAGGAGACATGGCCTTGCTAAGAGCAAGCCATCCCGTGAGTCTAGCAGAAGGTATAAGACATGGCCAGTGCCCATGGGCACCAGGCACCAGCCGTGATGAAGCCCAGGGGGGTGCTCAAAGCCTTCTTAGCAAAGCAACCAAAGGAGACCATGCTTCAGTATGAAACTGCTGGTACCTCTTTACCAAGAGACTGTAGTGAGCTTTTTCTCTCCCAGATGATGTGTGTGGCAGATAAGAGCCTTATGAAAAATATTGCTCAAGGGACAAAAAAAAAAAAAAAAATCCACCAAGAGACTACATAGTTTTTAAATCAAACCCAGAGATTCAGACTCAGTAACTTTTGACCACAAGCTTGCAGAAAGATTTTACACGAACTGAGCTAAGGGAAATTTAAGGGGAACTGAAACAGCAGCTGATCCTCCAGCATGACAGATAAATTAAAGTTTAACATAAAAGGTTAGGGTACATAGACAAATCCCAGTAACATCACTGTTGCCTGTAACCCACATTCTGGTGGAAGATCACAAATAAATGCAAAGAAAATATTACACTAGTTTGTGATGAACAGCTAGTGACAGAGAAGTGATTTGCTCAAATACACCCAGCCTTGAAATTGCAAATTAAGTCATGCTTCCTGAGTTTTCAGAAGTAAAGAAGCTTAACCTGAGAACTACAGCACAGCTGGGATAACATCGTTTTTCTTTTACAGTATGGGAATTCTATTGAAAAGTGGAACAATGTTATAAAAAGAACATTAGATCTTGCTCTCCACTATCGCTATACTTGCTTTCATTAGCAGGGCGCTAACTATCAACAAGACCAAAAATAGAGAAAAAACATTGTTGTCATGAAGACTTTCGTGGGAATAGTTTGTTGGTAAGTTCAAAAATAGGTCGTCTCCTCACAACTGAGGACACAAGCCAAAATTGTGCCCAAGAAGAATAGAAAGAGTTTAAGTCAAATCATATAGTCTCTGAATTAGGAGGGAGGTCAATGTGCTCCAAAATATCTAATTTACCTTGGAGAAAGCTAGTGTTAACACATTGTTCTTAATACCATGAAAAACTGCAGATAATCCAAGCCTAAACACTAACTGAAAGCACAAATATTGTTTTTTAAGAAATCAGTATTTTGGCTAGTAAACATCCATAGCCAATATATTCTACAAAAGCTCTGACAAGAACTTACCTCTCTTTTTTTAGCTTCATTTGTGCTGTACTTTGGAAAGAGGTAAGAAAAAATATTCCCACAGCAGCAGGCAACGTGCACCAAAGGACCCTCTTTTCCTAAGCTCAAACCTGACGCTACAGCCAAAACTAATGTGATGGTTTTTATCATCAAAGTCCACTTCCCCAAGTAACCTCTGATGATGAAGCCACTCAAAATGGTTTTTATCTGAAAGAAAAACAAATTTGTTACGTGGTTCTACTTACTTAAAATTGCCTATTTCCTGAGGTATTTTTGATGCATAACTTAAAAATAATAATAAAAGAGTTGCACTTCAAAACACTGTAAAACTTTTTGTTGTTGTTCAGACTTCTGGACTAAGTCATTTAGTCGCCAAAAGCAACCAAAGCATTTTCACTTACAGTAAAAAGTTATGAAATGAACATACAACAACATTATCAATTATATTTAATAGAAACTGTATCTGCAGTAGCTTTTATGACTGCACTGGTTGATTTAGTAGATAAATTGTTAAATAAAATTCAGAAAACTCCCAAATAAAAAAAATATGACTCCAAAAACTGCTTTGAAGATCACCTATAAGTTACTGGCAACAATCCCTCTTGCACCAATTCTGCACTTTTTTTTTCTCCTCATATTTTACCATATCCACATAAAAATTGTAGTGTATTCCATGAGACTGCAAAGCTGAAAGATCAGCCTTTCATGGTACCATTTTCCTAGAGCATTACTTGGCCTAATAGTGTCATATTATTAGCCTGGAAAATATGCCCATATATAGGAAACAAAACAGTTATCAAAGCAAAGGACAACACCTTTACAAAAATGGATGCACAGAAAATACTGGCCAGCTACGTGTAGAAAGTAAAGGTTAGCTAAATAAATTTGGAGACCAATTTAGGATGAAACCTCCTCTGGGATAAAGGCCCAGAGCTACTCCGGGCTTATTCTTATTTACACTTCAACTCCTACAACACAAACGCATGTAGAAATGTTTAAAGAAAGACTGGAAAAGTGAGACTGAGCGGGATTTTAACTTTTTTTTTTTTTTAAATCGTGTGTAGTTTCAGGCAAGCAACTGTAAATGAAACAATTTTTAAAGGTTATCAAACGTTTCACTTCACGCATTGACTGTATGCCAGTCTGTGTTAACTAAGAAAAAACCTACAGTAAAAGATCAGCTGTTCTATGAGAGAATCCTCTATTCTGCCCACGAACTGCTGTTCTCCTATAATCACAGGCCAAGTTGGGAGCGGGGTGGGTGGGAAATCACTCTTCAGAAGTTTATACTCCAAAATAAATATTTCCAAGAATAGTCGCCCAAAGTACAGTGCCAAAATCTACAAACTCAGCATATACTCTGAAACCTCAAGTATTTTTTTTTCAGCTATACATAACACAATCACATTACTTTCCTTTGAATACTTATATTCATGTATTTCATCAAATACAATTAATCAGATCACAGGATCTCTCCATTTAGACCATTAGGGTAGCAGAAATTTTCACATTAATATGAAACATCTACAATGCACATATTATTTAGACCTCACCTCAGGTATCCCGGAGCCACAGGCATAGGGAGCAAACACCTTCACCAGAGAAACTGCTAAGAAAGCAAAGCTCAAAGCCCAGAAAATGTACATTATGTAGTTCATTATGTATGAGCCTGGACCCTGAAAACAAAAACAAAATGCCCCAAATGTCAAAATATAAATTTGATGCATGAGCTTAATCACTACCTAAAAGTAACCTAACTGCACTCTTGTAATATACAAGTAAACTTGCACATACATGTCCTGCGAGAGTAAATCATTAACAAGTCAGAAGAGCGTTATGAGAAAGAATCAAGTCATGCTATTCATACCTCAGCAAAGACTGGGTTACACCAAAGTAGAAGTTCTCAATATTATATACATATTATAAAGCAAACTAAAACAATAGGACAGGCATGTTTATAGCTACTAGCTGCTAAAATGTACTGAATACCAAGTTAAATATTCTTTATTTAAAAGTTTTGCGGTAGAAAAATAATCTATTCTTAGTTATATGAAGATAACAAATGTATAATTATGAAGAATAAATATTTTCACATTCATTAACTGTCCTACAATCTCTTTGTTATTTCCTTACACTGCCAACACCCCGAGCTCTTCTGTAGGCATATAGATGTGCACTTTTTATGTTTTAACTGATTCATCAATCAAAATGCTGAAAAATGGAGCAGATCACCCCAATTTATTACCCTAAGATTGTCTTTTCTATAATCAATAGAGAGATGGAACAAAACCATAAACAAATGGTTATATACTTACTTCTGCTTGACCAATTATTAGTTCTGCCCATGTTTTCCATTGGGGACATTTGTCTCTCTCCTCAAACGTGGTCTCATTTGAGCCCCAACAACACTGTTCATGGTTAAACCACAAAGCACTAAGGCAAATGCCTTCCTTTAAGTCCGTCATCCAATCAGCAGCAATGTCTATTAATCCTGCCAACGCCCCTGGTGTATATACAAAATTGTATTAGTATTTTGGGAAGTAGTAATGACAAACACAGCTAAAATGAAGAAATGTAGTGACACTAATCAATCTGAAATTACTGAAAATTTAAAGTATTAGTGATTTCCATGTATGTACTCAATCTGCAATGAGGCAAGATCAGTATATTCCTGCACAATATAGTACTGTGCATATTTCTGAGGTTAAATACGTCTCCCTCCAGCATCAATTTTCAGTAATTGAAATTAAGGACTTCAGAGCCAGAGAATTGTTGTATTTTGCTAATGAAAAAGACAATACGATTAGCAAAATACAACAATTCTCTGGCTGTGAAAAAGACAATACACTTTCTGACAAACAAGCTGTATCATGCCTCAGAGAACTCTGAAACTGTTTTAAAAACGTATTTTGACAATTCTTACCCTGTCAAAAAGAGTTTCAGAAGATCATAAGCAAGACACCAGATAAACCTCTGATGACATTCAAAATAAACTCTTTGACTTAATTCTGAAACATGATAGGCACATAAAATTCCTACTGGAAGTTAGAGATATTAAGAACTTCTGCACTTCAGAGCTTTGGAATACTTTTATTGCTCTGCTTGCGAAGTGTCACTGTATCATAGTGGTGCCATACATCAGGATTCTATCGGCACAACCCACAAATCACTTTAACATCAACAGATAAAGTTGAGGGAAAGACAAACGGAATATTACTTGTCAAACCTAACACCTTTGGCCTAGCAGTCTCTACAAAGATGGACATAAACGCAGTTACGTTTTGCTCATGTATTTGCTTACACATGCTTTACAAGCATGTCTGTTTACTGAAACTACAGGTATACTGCAGTTAATTTATGAATCATGGGACAGACTCAGTAGTGTTCCTAGCAGGAAAAATTATTCCATACCAGTAAAAACACCAAGTACAATTAGTTTATAAGCATATTTTTGGAAAACAATCTTATCGTCAAAAAGTAAAATATAATGGACAAGGAAAACCACTACATAAATGATAAACTACCTATGTTCCTTGATCTTATTACGTGGAATTTCAGCACCTCATATCAACTCTTACTCCTTCCAGTGGGAAAAGTATTTGTTTTCCATTTGATTAGTAGTAAATCCTCCCCTCAATACTCTAAAAGTCTATAAATCAAGGCAGTCGCTCTTTTTTTTTCCTCATGAAATATCATCAGTAGCCTGAACAAGTTCTCATTCAGTGTGTCAGATAATATATGAATGAAAATCACAGTAACTACAAATGCTAGTGAAGGAGAGAGATCGATCTCCATTTTTGTTTACCTGATGCCAGACCAGTCAGCGTAACTACTAGCCATCCTGACCATGCATCATACAAACTTTTGGTCATCTCCCATGCTGACTCCTTCTTCCTGCTGTTAATCTGCAAAGACAAATCATAATCCATGTTTGCATCATTCCTGTAACACAAACAACAAATGTGGGATACAAACTGGATGATGCAAGCCGTGGACAAATATCTCCCACCTCCTCCCAGTGTTTATAGGGAGGATTGCTTTACAAAGGTAATTCAGCTTGATTATTCAGACAGACTGACAGAGGACAGGGAAATGTGCTTAAAGAGAAGAAAAAAATAACAAAAAAAAATAGAGAACGTGTACTTTATATACTTTGCATACTTTTAAGATATGCATCTTAAAAAAATAATTGCACAGTATTTTTCTTCTTAAATGATTTTCTGTATGTAGAGTCTAAAATACATGACCAAAAGGTTACTTTAAGCAACAAATGTTAAATATATAATAAAAAAGTCAGGCTGGAAACAAACCATTCCACCTAATTTGAATTCACAAATTTCTATTTCAAATATACTTACGTAAATATTCATCTGTGTTTCAACCTAACAAAACTCGACAACTGCCTAATACTTCTAGTCAATTGTTACCAATGATTAAACAGTTCTGATAAATAAAACATTCATTCTTATTTTAGTGTTACTTTAGTTTCTGAGTGTAGCTGAAATCTGTGAATAATTTGTTTTATGATTAAGCTTTCACTATAAAAATGTACCCTATTCTTGCGATATTTTCATTACATAAAAGAAGAGAATTTATACATCCGACATTTGCTTCCAGGAAGTTTATATTTGCCATTTCAAAAGATGACAAAAATATAATAGTTACCCAGCCAACTATACCATGTTGCACATGAAGCCCTCCGCACAATCAATGCAGTATTCTAAAGCTTGAGATTCAATATCATTCACTTTTCACTATTCTTTTTGGCCAGTTAAAAAGACCTTGGGAGAACCATATCCTCACATCTTTAGAAGTGTTTTTTCTTTTGAGATAAATTTTTCGAATGCTCACGTTAATTTAACAGTAAAACTCACAAATAGCATAATCCCTCCTAAAATGCTATTAAGTCTCATGAATGACAGTATCTAGTAGATTACTGAATTATAGAACTAACGCCCAGTCCAAGAAAGCACCCGCAGCAAAACAAAATGATAGAAGTGAATAGAGCCTGAACTTTAAAGGTCTTACGAATAAATCAACAGACTGGGAAAAAAAAAAGTAAGTTCTGTGATAGGAAAATAGAAAGGATACTTCCCATACTTCCTGAGACTGCTTTGTTTTTTCCTTTAATGTATAAACACAAGTATAAGTATCTATATAGTAGTTGTCTACATGTACACTCTTATTAGTATAAGAGAAAAAATATGCAAGAAAAGGTACCATAAAGATTATTGTACTACTCCAAACACATATACACTGGAAAACAGCCTGAAATATAACTGTATTTTAAAAAGTATTGTAAGGGCTTCCTTTTTAGGAAAGTAATTTAATCACATGGTATTATATTACTGTTTCCTTTCCAGATTATAATACTGTCACAAGACTGCAGGTAGCAATGAAACAGGCCTTCTTCTCTACAGCATTAGAGTAGTTCTATCTGATGCAAGTACCAACAAATCTTAAAGCATGCGCATACGTATATGCTACTAAATCAGATCTTAATCCCAGTATCAACAAAAAAGCCCCTTTGAGTATTGTTATTTATCTCAAGTACCCGTCTATGCCTTTCTCTGTCTTTGCACTTCTCTCGAACCCAGTCAATGGTATGGAAATCATCATACGTTCCTACTCCAGGAATCGGTTCATCCAGAAGGTCCAACAAATGTGTTGAACTGTTGATACTTCCTCCATTTGTCATTGTATAATGAGTTCCTGTGGCACAGAAAAGATAGGAAACAGATTCTATAATAAAATAATTAAGCATTCTAATGATCATAAGGTTATGGCACATAACATTTCTATAAGTAATTAAGGCACTTCCCATAACATGCATATGTTGAAATCCATTGCTCAGACCCCAACAACCCCAACACTACTTGTACTAAGCATTACTGATCTTAAGTGTATATCTCTGCCTTTGGGCTTTGACTCTTATGTTGTTATAGCATTTTTCAACTTGCCTCTTTTCTTCCAAGAGGCAAGATTATGCCCCATTAAGGTTAATAACAATAATAATAACCAACCTGGCCACAACAGTCAACAATCCCGCTCAAAAAATGTACAACTTGTGTGTACTCCAACAGTGTTCAAGGACTCTACAACCCTGCAACTTGCTGCACTAAACACAGCAATAAACTCAAATGCTGACATACGTAACAGGGTTAAGTAGTATGCTTTTAAAGCGAGTATCTCAGACTTCCCTACTCTGTGGTCAGGTCCACATCGCTGAGCCCTGTAGGACCCTCCAGATAGTTCCCTCCCTCAGTTCCCTCCAGATAAAGCTGTATCAAAAAATATTTTCCAAAGCAAACAGGCATTCAGGCCCCAAAAAGAGATTAGAGCCAGTCCAAAACAACATCCTCAAATAATTATAGGGTGACGCTAGGTGCCAAGTAGCAGCTATTTCCCTCTACAAATCTATTCTTATAGACCCATGTTATTTGCTAATTTAGACATAGGATAACCTAAGAAACTTCAGAAAGTTGCTTTTTTTTTAAAGCGTGTCATATGGGCTATGAATATCATTTTTTTTGAATTAAGAAATTAAAGGCTCTCAACATGGCACATGAGCATTTTTCTGTCACTGAGCCGTAGGTTAAAGCAGGTTAAATTTGTACATTACCGTACTTCATATTTCCATCGGTTAAATATGAATTAGCATACTAGTTAAACTGCTCTGCATGCAGACTCTTGAGAAATGTTAACAGAACACGGAAAAAGATAAGAAACTCTTGATGCAAGCTGTACTTACAATTTAGTTTATGAACTGCTATAGGAAAATTTGACTGTAAAAAGCTAAATTGGATGATTAAACATTGTGTTCACATCTCATACAATACCAGTTATTTCTAAATATTCATACATACTCTCTTGATTACCAATCTCTCCTACGTGCATATGCCAAACCTAAAAAGGTGATAGCAACAGAACATGATCCACTCAGCTAAAAAGCATCAGTAAGCCAGAAAAATATATATTTCTCTCTTTTTCCCCAGGTAGCTCACGGAACACCCTTCAATCATGAAGGGTCAGATCCTGCATAAGGGAAATGCCTTGTGCTATTATTTCCTCACTAGCTGGCACCTTCACAACCAGCTCACATAGCAACACCCACAACACTGTTTCTTTCAGTGATCAGACTAAGGAAGAAAAGCAAGAGAAGCATGGAAAACTTCTACGTCTTCACAAGTGACGGAGAATGTTTTGTCTTTTGAAGCTTCAAGTGTCATCACTTCTGTAACATTCTGTTTGCCAGCTCCTGCAGTAGCTTATTTACAGGCCACAAGTAAAATCTATGGGATGTCTGCCAAAATATATATAATGGTGGCATGAGGGTTTTCCACCCCATCCCCATCTACTTCTGCTGCAGTACTTGCTGCAAAGGAACATTTTATATTGAGGTGATGCACACAATGCTTTAAAGAGCAGTCACTTTCTTGATTAACTAACATGATCATTAAGGCAACAGCATATGGCACACGACATTGAGCTCTATCCTTGAAGGTGCAGGCCCAGGTTGCCATTGAGCCCAGTACTTCCACTGGTTTAGACAGACATGAGAACACATTTCACTGGACTCACACCTAACCTGTCGGGCAGGGATGTATGGGAATGTGTATGGGACGCAATCTTTATTTTACTTTTTGTTCTACACTCATCTCCTTAGTGCTGTCAGGAGCATATGTCAACCCATCAAAAAGAAAAGATGTAACTAATCTCCTCACCAGTGTGAGAACACATTTCACTGGACTCACACCTAACCTGTCAGGCAGGGATGTATGTGGGAGGCAATCTTTATTTTATTACTTTTTGTTCTAAACTCATCTCCTTAGTGTTGTCAGGAACATAAGTCAACCCATCAAAAAGAAAAAGGGTGTAACTAATATCCTCACCAGCACCACACTCAGCATTTCCATGTTCACATTTTCCCCCAGAAACTGCCTCAGGTTCCCACATTGCCAGTATCTGCTGGGCGACGTGATGGATAAACACACATGGCACACCATATTACTTTATATTGGAACAGAAGCATGATGGGAAGGAGCCACAGACCAGGACATGAGGCTGAAGAGATGATTCCTTTGAATACAGAGCCCTTTGAATACCTTATCCTGCTGAGTAGATATTATCTTATACCAGGAAGAATGTGGTCGTAGCAACACCCCACATTAGTGTGCAGCAGAAAGGCTGCCTAGAAAGGACCACAAACTGAACACCTCTATAATACCTGATGCTCAATATGC